ATGCCACGAAGAATTGAGGCAGTTCTGAAGGCAAAAGGGGGTCCAACCCGTTACTAGCGTGGTGTACCTAATAAAGTGGCCGGTGAGTGTAATTTAAAATGATTTATATTTATATTAGATTTATAAAGCAGCTGAAGGAAGGTTTAGTGTTTCTCATTTACTCCAACAAACCTGATATTYATGAACAGAATGACCATGTTAACCATGTCTGAACACGATGAAGTCAACTTGTCCATGTAAAGAACAATGTGGGAAATATTCAGAGAAGGAAGATGGTGGATTGTGGGTGAAAACCAGTTAAATATGTTGGACCAGTAGCACTGGAGCACAGGCCAAAGAAAACCATGTTCCACAGAAGAGACAAAGATCTGCTTCAAACTGAAAGCAGTTTTTAAGAGTTCAGCAGCAGCTAAATGTTGTTGATGGTTTTAAACAGGTTTTCTGTGGCTTCAGGAGAAACTGTGTTTAATAAATGTAGAAGCTGCTTGTTCCAGAACAGGCAGAGACAAACACTGACAGCTTTAAAGCTTTCTTCTCATCCTCAAACACTCATCATCACTCAGTTCTTACAGGTTTATCAGGTCATTTAAACCCATAAGGTTTAGATCAGGAAGACTTTTTACAACTCTCTAGTATTTCTTAACATTTGAATTAACTGTAAGAAGAMTAAAGGAACAGCTCTGCATATTTAGTTCATTAAAACAACAGTCAACTTTGGATTTGTCTCTAAAATCTACCAAGTCCAGAAAATTACCACTTAGGTCTGATAAACCTGTTAGAGAAACTTTATCTTTTAGAAAGCATTCGTCTTTAAAAAGTGTTTTCCTTTCAACCAAAACGACACRATTATTCCAGAGAGTTGAACCAAGTGGAGAAAAGTTCAGAGTAAAAATCTTTTTGCAGAAACGAAGCATGTGTTCATGAAAATGTGATCGTTTATAAAGAACCGTATTAAAGCTGAAAATCACATGTGAACAGAAAATCAAGGCCTCCAACTTTGTCAAACAGACACTTTGTAAAGTGAAACCCAGAATTGATCTGCAACAAATAAGATTTGATCCAGTTTCTTCTAAAAGTACCAAAGAAGACTCAACATCTGCAGCTTTAATGTCTCCATGTTCGTATTCTTCTACAAGCTGACATCTTTCAATGTTCAGGCTTTTATTTCTCCATAAAAAGTCTAAAATAACTGAATAGTTTTAAAACTGTTGGTAGAAACATGTAAGGAATGTCACAGATATATGAAGTGATAAATCCTTCAGATTTGGATTAAAGAACTGGTCCAGAACTGCTCAGGTCTCTTGTTAACATCTGCTGAGTGATTTTTATTTCTCATGTGTGACTGAAGGTTTGAACATCTTGTCTTCTGATGACTTTCTTACATAATGTTATTCCTAAATATTTAACTTCTGGTACAGCTTTAACTGAAGCCACAGATGACTCAGAGCTTGGATGAACACAGATTTATTGATTGATGCTGACAGATAATCCTGATAATCTGGAAAATGATTCAGTAATTTGGAGAACTTTTCTGACCGTTGACTTTTCTTTTACAAATGTTGTGTCATCGACAAATTGACTAATCTGAAATTCTCTATTAAAGATGTTAAAACCTTTTATTATGATATAATTTTGAATAAACAATGTAATGAGTTGATAAAATGAATAGTTTTGGGGGATTGGGCATCCTTGTCTAATTCCACGTGTCACTGTAATCCAGGTTTAAAGATTCATACTGTAGCTAGAAATATGTGAATGAAACATTTTGAATATTTTACAGAAAGACTGTCCAAATCCTAAAACTGTAAGAATAACACATAACTGACTGTAATCTAACAAATCAAGTTGTGTGTTTGTGGATACTCCTGCCTTTAATAAAAGCAGATTGATCATTAATTAAATGAGGAACGCCTTCATTTAGTCTGAATAAACATGGGCTGAGAGCTTGTGACGTCACAAAGTAAAGTTATCAGTTTTCCTATAGAAAGTCACGTTTAAGTTTTTGAGTTAAAGACCAGGCTTCATGTAGCTGAAAACTTTTACTGATTTACTCTAAAAAGGCCTCAAATAGTAAAGTTCTTATTTCTTTACAAAAAATATAAGAAACTCCAGTTAAACCATCCAGACCTGGAGACGTACATTTAGACATTTAAGGCTTTATCTAGCTCTTCAGTTTTAGCTTTTCTTCTCATTTATTTTTAAATTTTTATCCAGATCTTTAAAATAACCCTTCATCCCTCCAAACAGTTGGGAACCATTCTCCATGTAAACATTTAAATAGGTTAGTATAAAACTTATTATTGCTTCATTAATCTGATGTTGGTCTTCTGAAACCGTACATTTATAAACAACTTTAGTATTTTCTTTTTGTCTGTTTCTCCAAATTAAAGAAATAAGTATTTTTTCATCGTCTTCTATCCAACGAGCTCTTGATCGAATAAAAACTTTTGTTTTTTCCTGGTAAACATTTTCTAACTGTAACTAAAGATTATTAATTAAGATCTGCTTCTCTGTGGATGAATTAGTGACAAACATTATATCTCTAATTATTTCTTGTTTTATCTTCAGTTTGACAGTGTCCTTACTAATTCTTATTGTAATTTCTTTTACTTTAAATTTGAACCAGTCCATTTATTTAAATAAGACATTCTGAGAGCATTTATTTATTTAACCAAGTCTAGAATCTCCCAAAAAACAATTTATTTTCAAGAAGTTTGTTGTTAAATTTCCAAATAACATGTGAGCTGATTTCAGATCTGCATGATGTGGACAGAAACTGGTGCAATGACCAGTTAGAGGGGATTTCAACATGTTATCAATTAAATAGTTAGAAATGGACCAAAAATCAGGTCTTGATTTCAGCTTGTTGTTTGCAGAGCTGAACTGGGTGAACTGGGTTGTGTTGGGATTCCTCCAGTGCCAGCAGTGAAGTTTGAATTTGAGATGAGTTCAGATAAAACTTCATCTGATTGATTTTACAGCTTTGAAGGAAATCGATCAAACCAGAGGTCTGAGACCAGGTTAAATTATTACGTTTGTTGAAAACAACACCAGGTTCTGGAAACAACACCAGGTTCTGGAAACACCAGCAGGTTCTGGAAACACCAGTGGGGTCTGGTCTCCAGTCATCATCACGTTGTGCAGGTGTTCTATTCAACAGGTAACGTTATGAAGCAGTGACTCATGTGCTCATTGGTTAATGGTGTCAGCTCAATTCAATAATAAACTGTATTTTGTTTTATATGGTTTTAATCAAAACGTTAAAGATAAATCAGTTTAAATCTCTTCAAATGCTGTTGGACAGATGCATCCTGGGATTTCCAGAGTTTGTCGGCCGTGAGGAGCCTTCATGTTGGGCCAGTCCTCGGTGCGGGGCAGTGACGGATGCAGCAGACAAATGTGCACTCATGAGGACCAGAGCCTGAACTGTGTCCTCCCTCCTTCATCTTCCTCTCTGCACTGCGTCCTCATTGGCTGTTGCTCTCTCCCAGCAGCCAATAGGTGATCATTCTTCCTTTGCCTTTGATGTCCATGCTTCCTCTCAGCTCCAGCTGGAAGCAGTTAAAGTCCATCAGGACGTCCCGGGTCGCTGCCGACACGTGGATCTTCAGCTCTGCACACAGAACAAAGGTCTGAACAGGTCATTGAAACCAGCGCTGCTGATGAGTTCATCTGTGGTGATCATGAGTGTAATGTGTGAAACTGAAGTCAGAATCACTGAAACAGGTTCTGATCCGTTGTTCTAATGAACCTGAATATTTAAAGGAAACTGGACCTGCAGTCGGACCAGATGTTCTGATGTTTTACACAGAAACACTGGAAGAACTCCAGGTTACAGACGATCCAGTGGTTTTGGGACATGTCAGTTCAGAACTGAACCTCCTGACTAACGTCTGTTTGTGGCCCTGCAGCCCCCACACCTGACCATGTCTGATGACATCATCAGGTGTCAGGGTCCTGAGCAGCAGAGGAATCACCTTCTCCGGTGGACTCCATACGAGACGACGTGTTGACCGTGTCACCAAACAGACAGTACCGAGGCATCTTCAGGCCCACAACCCCGGCACACACCGGACCTGCACACACACACAGGTACAGGTACAGGTACAGGTACAGGTACAGGTACAGTTGAGGCTCTGCAGGCACAGGACTGACCCACAGGTGTGGGTCTCCTCACCGCTGTGGATCCCGATCCTCAGCTTCAGCTGATGTTCAGGTCGGTGTCGGATCTTGAAGGTGCGGACGGCCCCCAGCAGGGCGAGCGCCATGCGGGCGATCTCTCTGCCGTGCAGCTTCCCGTTCCTCACCGGCAGCCCCGACACCACCATGTAGGCATCGCCGATAGTCTCCACCTGGGGGCGCCACAGGACCACAGCAGCTGGTGACAGAACCTCTGCTCTGATTGGTTCAGGTTTTTACCTGAACTCTGAGTCTAAAAGGATTTGATCTCCAGACATCAGCTGCATTAGTCCTGACTGTCATTTCAAACCAGCAGGTTCTCCTGACTTCTTACCTTATAAACGTCAAAGTTATCAATAATGGCATCAAAACAAGTGTACAGGTCATTGAGCAGAGTCACCACCTGTAGAAACAACACATTCCCTGAGTTCATTTATTCTTTACAACCAAATCTGAACGTCAAAAAGACTTCTTCAGTTAACTTTCTTCAACGCTGAGATAGGCTAACAGTTTCCTCTGCTTCCTGTTTCTGTGCTAAGCTAACAGTTTCCTCTGCTTCCTCTCTGTGCTAAGCTAAGCTAACAGTTTCCTCTGCTTTCTGTCTGTGCTAAGCTAGGCTAACAGTTTCCTCTGCTTCCTGTTTCTGTGCTAAGCTAGGCTAACAGTTTCCTCTGATTCCTGTCTCTGTGCTAAGCTAGGCTAACAGTTTCCTCTGCTTTCTGTCTGTGCTAAGCTAGGCTAACAGTTTCCTCTGCTTTCTGTCTGTGCTAAGCTAACAGTTTCCTCTGCTTCCTCTCTGTGCTAAGCTAAGCTAACAGTTTCCTCTGCTTTCTGTCTGTGCTAAGCTAGGCTAACAGTTTCCTCTGCTTTCTGTCTGTGCTAAGCTAACAGTTTCCTCTGCTTTTTGTCTGTGCTAAGCTAACAGTTTCCTCTGCTTCCTCTCTGTGCTAAGCTAAGCTAACAGTTTCCTCTGCTTTCTGTCTGTGCTAAGCTAACAGTTTCCTCTGCTTCCCGTCTCTGTGCTAAGCTAGGCTAACAGTTTCCCTCTGCTTCCTGTCTTTGTGTTAAGCTAGGCTAACAGTTTCCCTCTGCTTCCTGTTTTTGTGCTAAGCTAGGCTAACAGTTTCCCTCTGCTTCCTGTTTTTGTGCTAAGCTAGGCTAACAGTTTCTGCTTCCTGTCTTTGTGCTAAGCTAGGCTAACAGTTTCCTCTGCTTCCTGTTTTTGTGCTAAGCTAGGCTAACAGTCTCTGCTTCCTGTCTGTGTGCTAAGCTAACAGTTTCCTCTGCTTCCTGTCTGTGTGCTAAGCTAACAGTTTCCTCTGCTTCCTGTCTGTGTGCTAAGCTAAGCTGGGATAATAAAGTTAAGCAGTAGTGTTGACCTCCATGGGGGTGCTTTCTGCAGACAGAGCTGTGAATCCAACAATGTCGCTGAAGTAGATGGTGACCGAGTCAAAAGCTTCAGCCTGAACCATCTCTCCTTGTTTCAGCTGCTCTGCCACCGAACTGCACCAACAAACACAGGACAGGACATGAGTACTAATTATGTAGTATCTGGT